TTCAGGGGGCCTGATCCAGTTGGGGGCCCCTCAGCCTTTGGTTCATAGATCCTGTGCTTCCATTCATTTGGTTATTTGTCCCTGTGCTTTATCCAACCTTGGTTTCAACGATTCTTGCTCATATAAACCCTCTTCTTTCTCACTAATTAGACTCCCAGTGCTCCACCAGGGGCGATCATGTGCAATATTATATTCTTAAGTCCCTTTTGTGAAATATTTCAAACATGTCAGATATAGCCATTCTGTTTATTTCACCAAAAAATTACAGGTGAAAAATTTTATTAAGATCCTCATTATCTTTACCATTATAATAATCCTCCCCACTTTTCTAAATCTTAAAGATTATATTGACAATATTCCCTATGTATGCACAGATAGACATGTTTAGGTGTGTCCTACACTGATGAAAATTTGTAAGGGTTTTTAATAAAAGTCAATCGCATTGTTACATAAAATATTCTTATCAATATGAAGCAATATCAAGTATAACAAGTAATTGATAATGTCTATATCCATATATTATAATCTATTCTACAGTTCAACAATTGCTATCTGCACAAAAACAAATGAGATTATCTACCACTCTCAGAAAACCAAAAATTGTCTTGGCTGTCACCACCCAAGAACGCTTTCTTAACTATCGCTCATGTCTCACTCCAACCTTGACACTAGTAACAGTGCCGCTATCCCAGTGCATACACCTCATCCTGAAGATCTCGCATAGTCTTGTAATATGGTGAGGAGACGACCCAGACACCAGTCCAATTAGAATAAGCATCATTAGGCTGTTAGAAAGTGACACTACTATGGAGAAAAAAATAAGGCAAAAGGAGATGATGGATACTGGCTGAGTGTAGAAAGCAAACCAATTGTCCACCTAGGAGGCAGGTCTAATAGAGCCTTTTTGTGAGTCCCGAGCTCAGCACCTTACATGTGTTTTCTCATTTTATGTAATCATTACATCAACGCCACTAGTAGGTACTATTTTTATTCCAGTCTGCAGATGGCTGAACTGAAGATCAGGGAATTAAGTGGTAACAACACAGTTTCTGTGTACCAGAGCCAATTAAAGTGGCCATTTGCCTGAGATCACAATGTGAGATCAGATTTTATTTATATACTAGTCAAGAAGGAGATAAGTAAGTATCTTAGATTATGTAAGAAAGAAATCTTGTTTTTCAAGAAACAGCAACAAACTGAAACAGTCTGATTTGTTATTTCATTTTAGCAAATAAAATTCAATTTCAATTAAATTTAGTTCAACTGTGACAGTGACGGACACTGATCAAGTAGAACATGCAACTGTTAATCTTTTCTTTTACACTTCTAAACCATCACCCTTCTGGTGTTTTCCATGCATTATCTTGTATAGATCTACAGATGAAGTATGAGGGAGTAATGATAAATTTTTAAAGACATCCTATTTATCCATGTCCTGTAACAATTCCTGAACTGCAATGTATGTAGATTCTGAAAAGCATCATGAGGTTAATAGCTAAAACTCAGAAGATTCACTATATTGATCATCAATCAAGGATTCTGCTTTATAGTAGTCTCGTCTCACTCTTCACTATCACACAGAAAGGATGACGGAATTGATTTCCAAGTTAAGAGCAGAGATAAGTTGATTCTCTTTAGAACCTTTTATTGAGTGGGCCACTGGGAAGTATATGCATCAGGTCTGACTACTTACATTCCTAGGAATCAAATTTAATGTGGGCATTGAACTCAGCACTAGCCGGCCTTGAGCCACCTAGGCTGATCTGCCATTTCAATAAAATAGGGAATTACCGGGCTATGAGTATCAAAATAAATGGAAATTAGCAAATTAATGTACAATAAAGAATTCTTTCTAGTCATTAAACAAAGACAGAAGGCTTAGATATGTCTTGGAAATTGCTTTCTCTTAGATGTTTGTCAGGTTTATGGTAACAGTGAAAATATTTCCTTGGAATGTCAATTGGATCTTTTCCATTTGCTCTCCAGTGCAGTAACCAAAATACCTATTTTTTTATAATGACCATGCTGAGGTAAGAGCCAAGCATACTGAGAAAGCATTCACTTCAAAACTTTAAAAGTTCACTGTGTCAGACTCCTACTAACTCAATCTTCAGAATGCTTTTTATGGAAATGTGTTTAATTTTCTGTCCTAAGTATCTTTGTTCAAAGTATTTCCAAAGCATTTCATTTTTTCAAGCAAATATTAGATTAGGATATTAAACAATAATATCACATCCAATTTGGTAGCTAACTAGGACACCATAGCAAGGTTTACAAATAAAATTTACTAAATAACTGGATGACGTGAGATATCAAAAGGTAATTTCATGGTGCTTTTTACTTCACTTCTTTGTTAGGTTTATACTTGATATAGAAAACGCATGCTTATTGCCAAATTGGGCCAGCCCCTTTGCCAAATTTGAGGACACTTGTTATTGCTTTAAACTGCTTTCCACATGGAAGGTGACAGCACAGCGTACCACGGGAGTCTGAACTGCTGAAATAATCCACAAGCATGCTTTGTTTAGTTGAACTTTCTTACATACAGCCAAAGAGTAGTATCAAGGTTGAATACAATTAACAACTTCAGAAGTATGTCAGAAAATTGTCAGAGGGATATTTTGTATAAAATGGACAAGCTCACATCAACACATATCAGTGTTCTTATCCAACCTGATATCATCTACATACCATGGTACATTTAAACTCCCAGTAATAACCTGCATCTTGAAAATCTTCTGTTTTGTCTTTTTGTAGATCATTATCGTCAATAACTAAGAATGTAAAATTGCCGGGCGTTGGTGGCGCACGCCTTTAATCCCAGCACTCGGGAGGCAGAGGCAGGCGGATCTCTGTGAGTTCGAGGCCAGCCTGGGCTACCAAGTGAGCTCCAGGAAAGGCACAAAGCAACACAGAGAAACCCTGTCTCGAAAAAAAAAAAAAAAAAAAAAAAAAAAAGAATGTAAAATTGCATTAAAGCACAATGACTCAGCCTGCTCAAGCTGCCTCACTGAGGCTACCATCACAAAGCTCCAGATTTGAGATACATAATACATTCATTCAAGAAGATCTATAGATAACCATAAATATTTATAAGGTTATTAAAAAGAAAAAGAAGAAAATTTTCTGTTTGTTCCCTAACTTCAATGAAAAGAGTATTTGGGAACTGGTAACTAACAACTTAAACAGACTAAACAGAAATCCATTAACAGCCTCTATAGACATCAATGCCCAAATGCTTAAAAATAATTGATTGACAAGTACACAGTAAAAAATAAGATGCAAATAATGCATAGAACTGTAAAGTTTATGTGTCTCAACGTTAGCATGAGTTGGGACATTATAACGAACATATATAATTTGATGTATCTGTAGTTATGTATTGTGGACACACAGTGCTTTGCTGGTTTATTCATACATGAAATATTTTCTTAAAAACATGATGGACTATTTAATATTAATCAATTACATTGTAACATTCCTCTCTCTCTCTCTCTCTCTCTCTCTCTC